GTTCTCGCGTCTTGTACAGTGTAGGGCAAAAACACATAAACGAAGTTCTCACTGTCTTTTCATATTCAACTGGTTAAATGTAAATTAATTTAATCGTACATGAACAGTGTTGATCCGGGATGTTGTCATCTGCGATCGTGACGAACGTAACATGAGGCTTCTCCCGCTTGCATTGTGATCCTAGATGTCTGTATCTTCTTCACAAACCTCGTTATGCCAGATTAAAAAATAGGCTTGGTGTTGGAATGCTTATTTTCTGTGGAGTCGCTCTCCTGAACAGGCTGACGTTCATTGGCGGATGAAGTTGTGCAGATATCAGACATCAGCATACACTCATTTTCAGTGGTGTTCTCCTCACTCTTCTGTAGCACAGGTGTGGATTGACGATTGTGTAGTTTTATGGTGATCCAGTATATCGCACTGACAACGATGAGCCCCAAGATGAGCCCCAAAACTATAGTGGATGTCTTATAAATAACCAGAGTTGCTTCATTGCAGTTGGGGTGTGTTTGGTCTCCTGGACTGGAGCGTTTCTCTGTGTGAATCAAACAACAGAACTGGACTTAGAGACTGTGAACTGCTTGCGCAAAATGCACCAGATTGTTATTATGCCAAAGTTGGCAAAATAAAATGACATGCAATATTTAACCCTACAGTGTACTCGATTTTCCCAGTCTTACCGTTCGCATGCAGCTGATAGGCGTGTGGGTTTCCTTTAGCAGTTTCATCATCCACAAAACAGCGGTATATTCCAGCATCTGCCTTGCTAACATTAGGGATGGTCAAAGAGAAATCGCCGGTTTTGAAGCCGTTCTTCTCCAGCGATGCTCTTCCCTCGTAACCTTTGCCAGGATTCACGGATCCGTCCAGCTTGTAGTGCAAAACTCTTTTATTATTATGCAGCCACGTCACATCCTTGTTGGCATTGTGCGCATAGCAGTTCAAGGTGATGCTGTCCGTCTCTTCTACACTCACATTTAGAGCATCTATAGGGAAAATTATTCGAATCAAATCAATGATCATGCACTATAAAAGGTCTCCTATGCTCACCAAGGCTGCATTTATTTTATCAAAAATACAGTAAAAACGGTAATATTGTGAAATAGTATTACAATTTAAAATTACTGTTTTCTATGTGAATCTCTGTTAAACTGTAATTTATTTCTGTGATGCGCAGCTGAATTTTCAGCATCATAACTCCAGTCTTCAGTGTCACATGATCTTCAGAAATCATTCTAATATGCTGATTTGCCGCTCGAGAAACATTTCTGATTATTATCAATGTTGAAAACAGCATTCTTGCTTTATATTATATTTTAATACTTTTACTCAGTAAGGATGCATTAAATTGATCAAAGCTTTGCTAAAGACAGTTATATTACAAAAGATTTCTGTTTCAAATAAAAGCTGTTTTTTAAACTTTCTATTAAAAATTAATTAATGTTTCATTGTTTCCACAAAAAAATCCGATACAGTAAAGACTTACATAAAACATCCAGCTGAACTGAAGTTTTAACCCCATTACAGATGAACTCATAGGGCCCCTGGTCAGTGTATTTTGCTGATTTGAGAAGCAGATGGTGGTCTTTACATGTGAAATCCTCCTCAAAGCCGTTTTCGGTCATGCACTTATGGTTTTTGCATGTGGCGATAGTGGCATCTGTGGGGGGTATCTTTCTCCATTCTGCGTGATCACAGCTGCTGGCGTTACCGGGGAATGTGTACGGTCGGTTTATTAATGTAAAACCAGACGGAATATTCTGGCAGAAAGTTGCTGAAACAAAACCCATAGAAGAGACAGACATGTTCATGATCCATGAAGGAAATTTGGTTACATTGTATTTTAAGGTGTCATTGTTACAGTGTAATAAGTAATGAGTAATATTATATTGTACTGTATTGGCATTGATGTTTCTACGGAACCTTTCCTTCGCACAACATGTTCTTTATAGTGGAATAAAGGTTCTTTAGATTATTAAAATGTTCTTCACATTAAGAATGAAATGGTTCTTTTAAGAACCGTTCACTGAAATGTTCTTTGAGGAACCAAAAACAGGTCTTTTACAGCATCACTGCGATAAACGCCATTTTGGATCCTTTATTTTTAAAAGTGTACTTACTATAGATTTAAAGTGGTAGTTCAACCACAAAAGAAAATTAGCCCATGATTTACTCACCCTAAAGCCATCCTAGGTGTAAAATGGCTTTCTTCTTTCAGACGAATACAATCTGAGTTTTATAAAAAAAAATGTCCTGGCTCTTCCAAGCTTTATAATGGCGGTGAATGGGTGTTGAGATTTTGAAGCAAAATAAAGTGTATAAATCCATCATAAAAAGTGCCTCACACGGCTCCGGGGGGGGGGTAATAAAGGCCTCCTGAAGCGAAGAGATGCGTTTGTGTAAGAAAAATATCCATATTTAAAACTTTATAAACCGTAATCCCCGTAACCGTAATCTCTAGCTTCCGCTAAGGCCCCGTGGCCACCAACGCGTTTTTTCTTGTTTCCTCGTTTCTCCCCCATTCACTGCCATTATAAAGCTTAGAAGAGCCAGGACATTTTTTAATATAACTCTGATTGTATTCGTCTGAAAGAAGAAAGTCATATACACTCAGGATTGCTTGAGGGTGAGTAAATCATGGGGTAATTTTCATTTTTGGGTGAACTATCCGTTTAAGGTTAGGACTTAGTTTGATGTAGGGTTAGTTGTTTGTCATTTTGCACAATTTACTGCTATTACTATAGTAAGTACATGTATAACACTGTAAAATAAAGTGTTACTGGGAATGTATTGCAAACAACAAGGTAAACATACTCTATAGTAAACAGATATACAGCTATACATATGCATGCATTTGAATAGCAAGAAAATGATTACTCAACCAAATACATATGAAATATATAGTGCCTTAGTACTGAACGACAGTTATTAATGCTAATTATACTGTAAAAAGACACAACAAACAACCTAAAAAATGGGAAGACAAAACAAACAGTGGCATACCTTCATAAAAGACACCCATAAATGTTGAAGCCAAAATCAAATTCAGAGTAGCCTTCATCGCGATGCACTGAAACACACGGCAAATATTGTTACGTCGTGTCAGTCAGCTTCAAATACACTAAAATACAGTGATTCATATCACACTTGTGGTCTGGCTCTGATTCTGATCTGACTCGCCCTGTAACGCGAGACCATATGTTTAGTTCAACTCACTGCAAAAGCACTAATAGAGTTGTTTCTTCCACATAAAAACGTGTCCTCACTTCCGCTTTTTCCTCTGCGATGACGTGCAGTTGGACACGTGAGAGATCAAGCGCTCCTCCCCTCAACAAAGAGCTGAACAGAGAACTGTATGGCAAGACATTTGAACATTTAACCCTTTAGGCGCCAGGGTTTTTTTGGAAAAATGCTGGATTGACGTAGATATGTGGGGCGTGTTAGAACGAGCCGTTTTAGGTAGGCGTGGCTGACTCTTAACTTTTATAAAAAATATCTCTTTGGATTTGAGACTTTAGTCTTTGCAACTTTACAGATCTTCTTTATGCACCAAGAGCTTGTAACACTCCAAAGAGAAAGGAACACTTGAAATCGCATCATATGACCCCTGTAAAAAAAGTCCAGTTCATTTTGTTTTAAATTGTTAATTTTAGCATTTGTATGTTACTGGTACTTTTAAAAAAATAATATAATGTAATTTAACAGTGTCCATTGGGTTTTCAACAGTAAACATGAATTTATTTTACTAGAAAATATAAATACAAGTACATTTAATTTTAAAAACGTTAATTTTATTTAGTAGGCACTCGTAATATTTCTAGTAGCATTTCTCCATAGTATGCAATCAATGTTTAATAGAAATACAGCAAATGACAGAGATGAGATTTCTGTTTCAGTGTTTTATACCAATACAGTTCAAGCAATAGATCTTAAAACGGCCTGCCATACAGTGAGAGCAGTGTGGAAGAGATGCATTAGTGCTGTGAATAAATACCAGGAATAGAGACGTGATGACATCAGAGGCATGTTACAACTGTGTTGTATTAGTCAGGACATTTGGACCTCAAAAGTATAATAAAACAATCACACACACAGAGTTCAGATTACCGTCAGCTCATGCTGACCCTCTGCTGGAGACTGACGGTACTGCAGCACTGTTGACTTATTACTGACACACTTCACAAAACCAGATAAATGATGCTGAATAACAGATCATGACCATTTCTCCCTTTTCCACTCTTTTTAGAGGACAGAAAGCTGTTTGTGGGGATGTTGGGCAAGCAGCAGTCTGACGAGGACGTGAGGAAGATGTTTGAGCTGTTTGGGAGCATTGATGAGTGTACGGTACTGAGAGGACCTGACGGCACCAGCAAAGGTCTGTTAAAGGAATAGTTCAGCCAAAAATGAAAATGTGCTGAAAATGTGCTCACCCTCAGGCCATCCGAGATGTTGATGAGTTTGTTTCTTCATCAGATTTGGAGAAATGTAGCATTGCATCAGTGTCTCAGCAATGGATGCTCTGCAGTGAATGGGTGCCGTCAGAATGAGAGTCCAAACAGCTGATAAAAACATCATGTAGTCCACAACACTCTTCAAACTTCAAACTCTTGCTTCCGATGCTACAATACAAGTCCTCTATCCATATAATGCTTCCTCCAGTGAAAAAGTGGTTTGGTCTGAATCAGGAGAGAAATCTGCACAGATCAAGCACCGTTTACAAGCCAAAACAGCTCTAAACAGATAGAGAGACAACAGGAGATGGGCTTTTTCACAGGAGGAAGTGTTATTATAGATTATGGATATTTTGGCCAGAATCGACTGTTTGAAGTTAAAAACATCTTAATGATGGATTCGTTTCTTACAAACACACAGCTGTTGTCTTCTCCAGATGTTAACTGATGGACTGGAGTGCTGTGGATTACTTGTGGATTATTGTGATGTTTTTATCAGCTGTTTGGACTCTCATTCTGACGGCACCCATTCACTGCAGAGCATCCATTGGTGAGCAAGTGATGCAGTGATTCATTTCTCTAAATCTGATGAAGAAACATGTTGGATCATCTAAGGGTGAGGACATTTTCATTCTGGGAGACTGTGTTAAACACAAACCCAGTCTGCCGCACACAATGTGATGTTTGTCTTGTTTTCACAGGTTGTGCGTTTGTGAAGTTCCAGAGTCATTCAGAGGCCCAGTCTGCCATTAACAGTCTGCATGGAAGCCGAACTCTGCCTGTGAGTGAGTCCTCCTCTCTCCTCTCAGTCTCTCCTCCTCTCCCCTCAGCTGTAATCTCTGTCTGTGTGTCGTCAGGGCGCCTCCTCCAGTCTGGTGGTGAAGTTTGCGGACACAGAGAAGGAGCGCGGGATGCGGCGCATGCAGCAGGTGGCCTCGCAGCTCAGCATCTACAGTCCAGTGACACTCAACTTTAATGCATATAATGCCTACACACAAGCAGTGAGTACATCACACACACACACACACACACACACAGAGAGCACACACACATTTTGTTCATTCTTCCTGTTGCCTTCCCTCCTGAACCAGAGATGCCGGTTTGACTCCAGAGTTCATATGGAGTTTGCTGAAGTCCTGCCAAAACATCGGGCTGTGATCAAGTTCATGCCTGGGACACAGATACAGATCTCTATAGAACACATACTCACTCTCTCTCTCTCTCTCTCTCTCTCTCTCTCACACACACACACACACACACACTGTTTCTTGAAATGTGAAACTGAAATGTTTCTTAAATCAGCATATTAGAATGATTTCTGAAGATCATGTGACACTGAAGACTGAAGTAATGATGCTGAAAATTCAGCTTTGATCACAGAAATAAATTACAGTTTAATATATATTCGCACAGAAAACAGCTGTTTTACATTGTAATAATATTTCATAATATTACTGTTTTACTTGCATCAAATAGATGCAGCCTTGGTGAGCAGAAGAGATTTCAAAATCTAAATATTTTCCCTGTTACTACTACTTTTAATGACACATAATATAATATATGTTATGTTTTATAAACATATATAATATATAAACATTAAGTTTTTAAGTTTATATTTATGTAAATATGATTTTTATATTAAGTTAGTTTTTTTTTTCATGTTATATGACACCTGTGTCATAAATCATTTCCACACAATAAATATTTAGATGGTTTGTTTATTCCCCTGTATTTATATACAGTTTTGGACATTTTTGTGGACAAAGTAAATAAACTAAAAACTGCAATAAAATTCAACACCCAGGCCATAAAATGTATCCATTATATTATTATTATTATATTTCACTACAGACGCTTTAATCCCTGCACACTTCTGCACTCAGATATATTGTCGTATCTTGTTGTTCTCTCCGTTATTAATGATAGTCGTTGGATTTATCTCGTAACTGAAGGGATGAAGACTCAAGCACATGTTGAAGCTGTGTAGCGTTAACTCTTTGCTCTCTGTCTGTCTCAGGTGCTTCAGCAGCAGGCGCTGGCTGCGCAGTCATCGTACCTGTCACCTGTATCTACAGTAGCGGCGCTGCAGATGCAGCAGATGGCAGCACTCAGTGCTAACGGCATCATATCCGCACCCATCACACACGCTTCAGGTGAATGCTACCTTCACCACACCAGCAGCCTTACAGCAGAACTACTCGGGCTTCAGGAAAGAGGTCCGAATGGCATCATAATATGGTTACTTTACAATATTTAGAATATTTAAAAAGTGAATAAGAAAGTCTTCTTGTGTGCTAAAGGTGTACCCTTGTGAAAAAAGCTCACTTTGGCATACTTTTAAAAAGAGTACTTATTACCGAATGTGCTTTAAAAGAATATACTCAAGTGCAAACTGAATTTAATGTTTTCTGAGACTTAAATGTGACTTCAGTGTGTTAAGAGGCATAGTCATGAACGTGTCTCACTTTAACACAAGTGACCTTTTATTTCATCATTATTGTATTATCTGCAAGTAGTTTTAAAAATATATACTTTTAAGATTTGAAGTGCACTACAAGTGCACATTCAGTACAGTTAAGCACACTTCTTTTTCACAAGGGGATCTTTATGCAAACAGCTCCATGTTTGTTATTCTTTTACTCGTCGCTCTGTGATTGGCTACAGGTGCAAACACTCCACCCACTATCGCAGCCACTCCCATCTCGGCTCTGGCTCCACTAATTGGACTGAACGGCTATAGTCCCGTACCGGCAACCAACAATGGACAGCCAGCATCAGAAATCTACTCTAATGTTTATCCATATCAAGGTGAGTTAAATCCACAGCTGCCCAGAACACACTAGCTACTGAATATCAATCACTCATAATCCTCTAACACCATGGCAGTGAGTTTAGCATGCACAAAAGCCACTCACATTTATTCAGAAACTGTAAAACGCTGTCTCTTCATGGTCTCTCATCAGCTCAGAGTCCTGCGTTAGATCCGCTCCAGCAGGCGTACGCAGGCATGCAGCACTATACAGGTGACTGAGCCTCCGCGTCTTTCACGGATGATACTTTGTGTCAAATCAAACGTTGTCTTGCTGTATCAGCATGTGTCAAACTCTCTGTTTCACAGCAGCCTACCCGACTGCATACGGATTGGTCAGCCAGCCGTTTCTACAGCAACCCACCCTGGTTGCCCAGCAACAACCGCAGCTACAGCGAGAAGGTGATGTCATTTCCTGTTAAAAAGGACATTTTGCGTACTTCCTAAGTTCGTCTGTACCCTTGTCAAAAGGAAATAAAAAGAGTACTTAATAGGGAATTAAAGGGTGAACTGAATGCAATGTTTTAGACACTTAACTGCATCTTAACTGCAATTAAATGAAAATGTATTAGTTTCATATTAATTTAAATGCAGTTAGCTGAACTTTACAGTGTTTTTGACAACTTTATATAATTTTAGTGCATTTAAAATAAAAAAGAACGTTAAATGTAATATTAAATAACACAACAGACTTAAAATATACTTGAACTTTACTTAAGTATACTTACTAAAATATACTTGAAGTATGCTACTTTTTGGTAAGGGTAAGTGTGTTAAGAAACATGAAAGTGTCTCTCTTCAAGTACTCAAGTGACCTTTTATTTCATTAATATTATACTAATTGCAAATACAGTTTTTTTAAATATACTTTTAGAATTTGAAGTACAATTAAGTGTACTTTTTCCACAAGCGTATGGTTTATGAATACACATGTTCATAAATCATTGCATATAAGTTTCTCATTATGATGATGTCTGTCTATAAAGCTGACGTTGAGTCTAATGTGTGTGTGTGTGTGTGTGTGTGTGTGTGTGTGTGTGCCGCAGGTCCTGAGGGGTGTAACATCTTCATTTACCATTTGCCTCAGGAGTTCACTGACTCAGAAATGCTCCAGATGTTTCTGACGTTCGGTAACGTAATTTCTGCAAAAGTCTTTGTCGATCGGGCCACCAATCAAAGCAAGTGCTTCGGTAAGAACGAGCACTGTATGTGTTCCTGACAATACTAACTAGGTAGGGAGCAACTACCTAGAAACCTCCCACGATTCCCAACTATCGCAATGCACTATAGCAATGCACTGGTGTTATTTTGGTATCATTGAGACACTTTTTATAGTTATATACTGTATATATATATATATATATATATAGACTCTTTGTCTTTTCTGTCTCTCAGGCTTTGTGAGCTTTGATAACCCAGCGAGTGCTCAGACAGCCATCCAGGCCATGAACGGATTTCAGATCGGCATGAAGAGACTCAAAGTGCAGCTGAAAAGGCCGAAAGATGCCAACAGACCCTACTGAGACCCAGACAGGTAAGAGAGGACAAAACATTAGGAAAGAGAGAGATTTATAATGCAAAAGGTAGGAAGAAAGAAGAAACTAAGAAGATGAGAGACAAAAGAGAAAGTTCTGCAGGGATTTGTCTGAATAAGGATGCTAAACGCACTTATAATGGAGAATAGGAGGCAATGGAGGCAGTGCATGCACAAAAATGGATCCAGAGGACTGAAAAAATGATGCAGTTCTCATTAAGAAATTGCTAGTAAATTACAAAGAAATAGCAAGTAACACAATGAATTAAACGTCAAAGTCGATAGACTGAAACGGTATTTTCTTGTAAAATGCACTCCAATACAACTTTGAAAAAATCAGGTAAAAATAAAACAATACTATGAAATATGATTAAAAACTTGATTTAGATTTGTCTAAAGTGGCACTGTCAGAAATTACACACTCCACCTTTAAATGTGATCAATAAGCTTAATACTAAAACGATATGATCCAGTTCTTTGTTTTTGATACTGCTCTTTGTATTTTCTCGATGAAAATCACAAACCACATGACAAGCTCCAAACGGCCAATCATAAATGACGGAGACCCCGTGGCTATGGTTACCTAGCAACAGATAATCCACTACCTCTGAAGTTGTAGTAAGTTGATTGGGCTGTTTGGTTGCCGTTGGCGACTGCCTGTGTTTGGGTTGCTCTAGCAACATTGTTTCTTTTTCAATGGCCATGAGGTGGGATGCATGGCATGTTGCCGTGGCTACGATGGATTGTTTGGTGCATTTGTGGCTTTGATTTCACTGATGAATTATTGTGAGATTTGAATGATCGTTTTTCAGTTCGATTGGAAATGACTAGACTGCAGATTGTTTTTGATTAGTTTCTGAAGTGTTCTACTTTAAATAGTGTGCTTATAATTATGAATGCGCCTTTTAAGGGGGGAAGGTGAATGATTCAGAGTGTTTATCATAATACATACGAGCAGGTAAAAGCAGCAGTGACAAAAGCGTTAGTTCAGCTCAAAATAAAGATTCAGTCATCAAACACTCACCCTCATATTGTTCCAAACCCATATGACTGACTGTCTTCCGTGGAACACAAAAGAAGATATTTAGAGGAATGTTCATGCTGCTCTTTCCTATAAATGCAAATGGAACAAAAAGTACTCTACAAGTAAAACATGTGACTTATGTGCTATTTTTAAGGCTCCTGAAGCCATTGTGCGTTACTGAAATTTAAGTCTCATATTCAAACTTGATTAATAAGTCATACAGGTTTAGACAATCATGAGGGTGACTTATTAATTTCTGAAGTACCTTCTTCATCGTGGATCTGCCTGAGCATCTGATGGTGATGTTACAGTAAGTACAGTGCAGAGAGTGATGCATGTTGGCTGCAATGAGAAACACTGATAAATAGATCTAAATGCACACATACAGTGTAAACACATGTGCACATGTAATCATCACCACAACATTGCAATATGAAAGCACTACATGATCTCCCGAGCACACATGCAGCAGTCTTGAGCTTCACTGTGACCTGCATGGGCAGCAGCGTGAATGTGTTTGCGTGTATCAAAGCACAGCTGATATGGCATACATGCAGAGGTGTTTGACAGGTCGTGAGTAGATTTCCTAAGGTTTTGGACCTCCTCAGTGCCGAAGTGTGTAATTTTATCAATGCTAAAACAAACACGTTCTCATATCCCAGATTAATAATGAGAGACTTTGTGAGTTAAATCCTGTGTCTCTGTAAAACATTGATCTGGTGGTTTGAGCATCATGACCAGCCCAACACTACAATGATTTAACCAATGCAATTATTTTTGCATTTACATTTTACATAATTTACAATTACACATTTCAATGTAAAACTACAACTTGCGATTCTTGCATTCAGTTTTGCAAATTCAGTGAATTTTTTTTTTTTTTAGCATAAATATTTCTGTAATGCTTTCCAAAAACAGCATGTCTGATATTTAAATTTTTTTCACAGACGTCATTCGACGCTCATATAGGGATTTCACAATAACAAACGATGTTCAGTAATTCGCTCCGACAGATTCAGTGAGTTCTTAGTTCGTTCGGTGAATGATTCATTATGTTGATTCAAACCAAAAAGGATTTGAATCTTTTTGATTCATTATAAGAACCATCACAGGAATCACATGACTGGAAAGAGTGTCAGTACACCGGTAGGTCGTCGGCATGAGCGAGATGTGTTGGTGATGATATGATGATGTTTTCATTTACACTGAGCAACCTGATGAAGCAGACATTAACCTGAAAGCTGAATCACTGTCTGCTGTTTGCCTGTGATCCAAAGCAGAGAATCTAGCAACATGAACATCAGTGTAATGCAATCAATCTCTCTCTTTCTGTCTGTCACAGGATGGAGATTATTAGGCTTTCACGCAGCAGACGGACTCCAGACGCTGAGCTGCACAGCTGAATTGCTAACATGAGATGTTTGTTATCTTGCATGCTCACATGTGTGTGTATATGCAAAGGACAAATATAAGATCATGTACATAAAGTGCATTCAAACACACACACACACACACACACACACACAACACACACAGAGTTACGGAAAGATGTCAATGGTATTAACAAAAAAAACTTGCTACTTCCTATGGACCGTCTTAGCTCTACAACTGTATAAAACAGTATTGTTTTTCATACTAAATAAATAAATAAATAATAAATAATAAATAAAAAAGGAGAAGACCAGCCACAGTAAATGACCATAATCAGATTTAAATAATTAAGCTTAAAATAAACTATGTAAAAAAGAAAATAAGAATAGTTGCATTAAAGCAAAAGACGATAGTTACAGTATTATTATTACGGTATTATTGTAAGAAAAACATCTTCAAATTTCTACTTTTTCATTATAAATGTGGTGTAAGGGGACTCAGGAATTTCTGGGCACGTTTTAATATTTTATCTTTTTATTTATCTATTTATTCATATTTGGAAAACATGGTTTGGAGTCTCTTGGTTTTCCGTGTTTTTTAGAGAACTACATTAAAACAATTGTAAAACTTTGTAACTTATTGAAATGTGAATTACAATGATGATATTTATGTCTTAAATTTTTTGATCAAACATTTGTTCCTGATTTAAATAAAATAAAGGTATTAAAAAATCAAGGTCTGTCATGTTTTATGTGTTAATGTGCATGGATCGAGGTCTGTGTGCGTCAGAGAGATGGTTTGTGTTGTACTGGTGTAGATACTGAGATTCTTATATTTCACAGCAATGAACCAGACACTTCTTTGACGGATGCATTATATACACATACTCGCTTCAGTGTTCAGGACTGACACGAGCATTTGGAGAATGAGTTCAGTAAATATGCATAACTCTAACAGAGCCGGGAATCAAAAACGTAACTCTAACCGTTTCACCATTTACTCCTTTGATCCAGCTCTATGCAAAGCATGCTGGGAACTAAAACCGTATGTTTAGATAATATAACACTATATGTTGATATAATGTAAATTAATATTGTTGCAAGTTTTTATAATTTACTGAGCACAAGACAAAACAATATTTTAATCTCACCAGCAAGGGTGCAGTGTGCTGGTGCCGACACCAGATGGAAACAACACTCACCGAGCTGAAAAGCCTGCAGTGTGAACCTTTGTACATAGAGTTGAGAGGAAACTGAATGGTAAAGGGCATTTCTGTCATCTTTGTTTCACTATGTGTGGCTGCCAGAGAAACTCATCTTCACTGATGATCACGCCGCTGCTGATGGAGGCAGAAAAATGAGCCTTAGCTGCTCAAGATTAAGCAAATGTCTCAAAACTTCATTCGACGTTTCAGAATTAATGCATTACATTCATATCTTACATACATTATGAAGGGCAATGTATTTTATGCATTTTGGCTCTTTAAAAAAAACATAAATATTAAAATAATATAAAAATTGTTATAATTTTTACACTTCGCTGCTGGCTTAAATGTCACAAAAACATGGGATTCAAATGAATTCTTAAGGTCCCTTTATGACGACCTTTCAGATGGAATAGTGTATGGCATATACAGAAGGTTGGACTGTTTGAAGAATTTTTGGGATATTAGAGAAAATCCCTGATTCTCATCATAGGACCAACAATGGAAAGCTTGGAATCATCAAGAAAAGAAAAAAAAAGTCAAAAATGTACTACTTTCTACATCTCAGTCAGGAGCACCCAATTAATAAGCAGAAAACTATTGAGGAAAAAGTTTCAGTAAAAGATTTACAGAAAGAAAAAAACAAAACAATCGAAAGACATTGGCTATTTAATTCAGCTTATTATTGTTGTTGTTGTTTCTTAAGGTGTACAATACATTGTTTTGTTTTTTGTTTTTTTCATGTACTGCACAATATAACCATCACATCCAATCAGGAAAAATTCCATCTGGTTTATAAGACTTGTTTCAGTTGTGAACAGCTTTTTTTATTTTATTGAATCAGTTGGGTGAATGATTCAATGACTCACTCAAAGCCCACAAAAAGGCGCTTGTTGCCACCTACTGGAGTAAAGCAGAAAAAGAACGGCAGAAATACACTTTATTCAGCTCACTGAAGCCTGTCCTCCACTGACATCCACTCCAAACAGGCCTCTAGTCTCTTGCCGGTACCGGCAGTTGTGTCCCGACCTCAGAGGAGGTCAGCGGTGGGGCTCTGCTGAGATCACAGAAGAATCCTTTATTTTTCATTGGCCAACATTCGCAGGGCTCTTATTTTGGAATTTAACATCAGGCAGTCCTGAAGTGGTGAAGTGACACTGTGAGAAGGTGTACTATCATTTTTAAGTGAAACTGGTCTGTGGAAACAAGCAGTTTCCTTTTGAGAGCTATCCAGAATCAAAGACAAGACTGGTCATATATTAGATTTTGGATTTTTAGATTTTTATTATGTAATGCAACATCAGACATTCCTGACATTGACTGAGTGAAACCCTGGGGTGCTGGACTGTGTATCTGAATTGAAGTTGGTCTGTGGAAACAGGGAGTCTTTATTTGTGTGTTTTTATGTTAACTTATTTATTTATTAATTATTGACAGAGAAACTGCTGAATAAATGAACGCCAAAGTTCTTTTAAACAGAGGATGGCTGTGTTTTTCACAGTGTTTCTCGCAGTCCCGTGGCCTCCTGGGATAGAAAAGTGTCCATCGGATGCACACTTCGGAATCTGGGCTGAAGCAGTAGGACATCCGGGGATTTCTCGCTTGTTCTTTTATGAATACTGAGGATTCGGAACATAGATATATATATACGGTCATATATACGATTCGGACACCCTCCTATCTTCATGTACCGTTTTCTCCTGCTACATAGTAGGCAAGTATTCGGACGCAACTGAAGTATATTCGCCTACTATACAGTAGGCAGCGTCTCTCATGCGCTCGAGCGTCACGATGTTTAAGTCCCGCCCGTTCCGTTATTCCCCTTTCTTTTTCTCTCTCTCTCTCTCATCTTGCGTGTCTTACCGACGCCTGTCCCAGTCCCGTGAGCTCATCACTGGAGCCGATATCCCACGATCAGGAAATACCGCTCAAACTCACCACAGCTGCCGCTTTGTGCAGCCACTTTCTCCGTTAAACCGATTTTCACCGAGTAGAAAACATTTTTTGTTTGTGGAGGAGAGATGCGGGTTGTAAACAGTCTGGCCGAACCGCGAATCCAGTAACGGAGCACTGAAAGCCGCGGAGGGAACCGGAGAAGCGCTTCACGACGCGTCCGTCATCATCACGGCCCGCTGTTCCCGTGCAGCGACTGAAGTGAGTCTCCGGTACCGTGTGTGTGGAGCTACTGGAACAGGTTTTGGTGGCACATTTGTACACAGCAGTGAGCTAACCCTGACAAAACCTCTTTTAGGGACGATCTCATTTGTAAAACACTATTTAAATTAAGTGTGTGTATATATATATATATATAAAAAATGTTATGCAGAAAGTTTTCTGTTAGCGTTAGATAGTGTTTATAAATATCTGTATATATAAACAATATAAAAATTTAGATGGCTAAACGTGTAAACCAGACATACTTAAGGTCAGGATATTTGATTAAATGACCCCTAATGTAAAATAGAAAGCTATCATTTTAAGCACATGCTCTGAGGGAAAAGCGTTTAGCAAAGAGACTATGGGGGTCATTGGGGCTAAATGCCTGATTTCAAGGGATAGTTCAACCAGAAATTAAATTCTGTCATCATTTGCTCACCCTCATGTCGTTCCAACTCCGTATTATTATTATTTTTTTTTCTTTTGTTGAGCACAAAAGAAGATATTTTGAAGAATGTTGGTAACCAAATATTTGCCGGTAGCCATCGACTTCCATTGTATGGAAAAACATGCTATGGCTAGCGTAAACTGTTTGGTTTCCAACATTCTTCCGAATATCTTCTTTTGTGCTCAGAAAGCCGGAGTTTTGAAACAACTTGTCGTTGACTAAATGATGACAGAATTTTTGTTTTTGAGTGAACTGTCCCTTTAAGGAAAACTAGATTTTGTATTGGCTCCAGTACGACTATCAAAACGGTTTATTTTGTGTTTAATATTGACAAAGAAATGAATTGTTAAAGAAGTTTGTTTTATTTAAAAAGCAAATAAAATACTGCATAATTAATTTATTAACCCACGAAATATGGTCACCATATGCAACCACTTTTTCAAATTTCATACTTATTCCATACATCCAGCAAAATAGTGCCTCAAATCTCTCTCACTTTTGGCATTTTGTTATATATTTTCTAAGAACTGTGGCATATTTTAATGGCATGTATCTTGCAGCTGCACTATTTCTACAGGCGTATGCTAAATGAATCTCCAGTGTGATTTTATCAGTCAGTCTGAGCTCACTTTCACATTCTTGACTGCCAACCCATCTCGCTCACTTATGGAAAACATTGCACTGCGCTACAGGCGTTCAGCATCCTTCTCTTCTGCCAGACCAGCAGACTTTTGCATGACACTGTTAGCCAGCATGTGCCTTTATTCTGTAGATCATGAAGACTTCTTAAAACCATAACAAGTCTTCTGTCTCAAAATCAACAGGTGTTTAGGAAAGTACAACAATTGCGGGAAAATACAATAAAAAGAGCATTTTGCTACAGCAGGACTTTATTCGTACCTTACAGTTAAAATTTGAACAAAATATGTATTTATAATTAAATTGAGTTTTTTTATGAGTAGAGTTTATATAGTAATTAATAGGGATGCACCGATACCGATACTGGTATCGGTATCGGGCCCGATACTGGTCTCCTGTACTCGTACTCGTACTCGTACTCGTTAAAATGCCCCGATACCAAACGCCCATACCACACAGCATGTGATAAGCGCCATATTCAAACAAAGAAACACTGACAACAGAACAACAGCAGAAAGGAGTTAAGGATGTCTACTACGAAGTATATGTATGCAATGAATATAATATTAAACATTCAGTATTAACGCCTGTATAGCTGATGTGTGCGAGCTGATAAACAAAGCACGCTGAGTGGATTGAGCACGTGGCGGCGCAGATGCGCGAGCTTGTCGAGTGAATATACCTTTCTCACAGACATCATTGGAAAGTTTATAGTTCGGTCGGATATGTCAAAGACAAGTAAGTAAAACAATGCACAAGTTACTTAACGGTAGGGAGAGAGCGAGAGAGAGACAGAGAGAGAGAGGCATGTGTGGAAGATGTGACTAATAAAGCATCAGCTAAAGACCAGCATGACAAACTTCTGCTCTTACCTTTAACCTAATTAGAGTCAGTCAGGCTCCAGAAGTGACAAATACAAGCAGAGGAGACCGGGGCTAGTTGTCACACTTTACTCCAGCGAATAATTCATTTCTGAAAAGTCAGACGTCCCTCAATAGTAGGGAATGTTGTCACAGTGAGAACTTTAAACTGGATATTACAGGCTATCAGCAAAATGTATTGTGTAAAACAATTATGAAAATCATCAAAAATCTTCCTTAAGTGCCCCCATTCACAAGCTCTTCACAAGCATGATAAAAACTGATGTTGTGGTTATTACTAATAAACCATCCTTGAAGATGCAATCTGTTCAAATTCAGCTCTGAATTAAAACGCCTGCTATTTGGCTCAAATGGTTTCCATTTAAAAGCATAATATGATCTATAAAACATTGTGAAGCTCTAAAATGAAGTCACAGTCGCTCTGAGTCACACTGAGTCTGATTTTAATACCCAAATGAACCCGACAGCAATGCAAAAATCACCCCCCTAATGTTCCATCTACATGATCGGGTGTGTGAGGAGGACATCTGCTGTTAGATGTTCAGGTGTGTTTAGCATGTTTTCCCACATCCAATGATCCATAAAGCATGTCTTCCATCAGTTCACAGGGAGTTAATGCTGCCCAAACTTTCCATTCATCACCTGTGGTTTCATGATATGTTTGAAGTAATTGATCTGTGTGTGTTTTATCAACATGATCACTTCAACCACCACCTGATACGAAGCACTGACATTGTCTGATTCAATTACAGGAGAGTTCAATAAGAGACCTGTTCAATCTGTGTAGTGCTGTTAATCTTAAACTAGAGTCGCAGTCACACTTTGAGTGAAATTACTGCAATGGTAGCAATATGACGCCATCCTCTTTTTTTTAACATAATTCTAAATATAATGCATCCAAAATGCATATTAAATTTACTCCACTTTACTGCAACACTACAAACCTGCAGATGTACGTATTATTTTAATTCAGAGGTTACGACACATCAATCTTCGTGAAATGAATTCGCAGGTCGGAGTTCAACAAATTGTAACTTCGAAGCGCAACAAAATGTGCAAAGTTTGCGTTTAAAAAACGTTATTACCATGAAAACATCTGAACTGAAAAATGAAGTTACTTTACACAACGCTGAATCTATGACACGCTGTCGATGACCACAGAAAATAACTTTGACTCGTTTTTTTTAAACAAATCAAATCATTGATCATTAAAATTAAATGTTAAAATACAAACCACAAAGCATGGTTTCCATGAGACTACTACGATACAATCACTTCTCAACAGTGTCTGTCCGAAGTCATATTCCAATCTTCCATGTAAAATGTGGTATATGTAAAATATACTAAGAAATAATGGTAGTCGACAGCATGCTCTAATGCAGTTGTGTTGTGGTAAAATTTGGTTGGTCTCTACAGATCTGGAACTATGACACAGGATCCTCGTGGACTAGAGTTGGAAACCGATGATTTAATTGATTGACTCTGCAGGGAAATATGCTGTCATGCTATTATACAGACACACTGGTGTTGGTTCAGCTGCCTAAACAGATGTATCATCAGCAGAAAGCATCCCGTAACACACCCTCACCGGCCAATTTTAATTACTACACACAACAAACCCGTTTACACAAGGCCAGTGATGGACATTTGACTCCCAAATATTTGCTTTACAAACACTGAGCCAGCTGGATGCGCTGCTGTTGATTAGTTTTGTGTTCTTGGCCCATCATTGAATGACTTCACGTGCCAATCGCTGTCAAACAAACCACCTCACCATTACTAAGCAAAACCTCTGTGCTGGAAATCTGACAGCCCCACCTGGGGCCAGGTGCATTATTTTAAGCCTGGGTTTTAAGAACTGGTTTCACCAATTAGCAGTAGACAAGGAGTAATTGGTCATACTTCTGAGATTCAAATTAGATCAATAATTGAATTAAAAAGTTATGACCAGTCTTGAAGAGAAAAAAAATTAGATTACTAACTTTTTAAGACTAGTCTAAGCAGTTTATGCAACCGGCCCCTGGACTCGTCCATCACTTGAGTCTGTTGATCCAGCTGTGATTCCCCTGGGTGTCTAAAGGCCACTTCTGTCTTCTTTAGTTTGTCCGTGTGGTGTGAATTGGCCTTAAAGTGATGTTGATGTGCCAGAGATGTAATTATGTAAATTCTCTTGAATAAACACGTTTCTAAAGGAAATGTTGTGGTGCAAAACTCACGGACACAATAGAATGCAACAGTTGGGTTAATCAGTGGCTTATTTTCAAAAGAATCATGTTTAACTGAATTCATGGTGAAACACTACATTACCCATGATGCTGTACAGAAAATTCCACCAACCAGAGAGTCTCGGTGAGCAAATCGCACCAAAAATTGCTATGCTGTCAAAATTTGACCCTTATGACTGGTTTTGTGGTCCAGGGTCACATATGTGCATATTTTACAATAAACTTGAACTTTGTTTCTATACATCAATGGAAAGCTTATTTATTCAACTTTCAGATGATGTATACATCTCAATATCAAAAAAATTGACCCTTATGACTGGTTTTGTGGTCCAGGGTCACATATATGCATATTTTACAATAAACTTGAACTTTGTTTCTATAAATATAATTAACTTTAAATTAATAGTTTTATATTTCTCAATAGTTTTTTAACTTGACTATGTCATTCGCAATGCTTCATGGGATTGTAGTTCTTTTCGTTACTAAAGCTGTTAGGAACACAGTTTTGTATCTTTGTCTTTTTTTCTCAAACACTGCTTCAAATCAAAGTTTGTAATGTTGTGATGCACCTTGTAGCTGGTTGGTTTGGTTCATGCTGGCTTATAATGCTTTAACAGACTTTTTAAAAAATCCCTATGGCAAAAATGAATGAGAAAAATAGCAACGCCGCTGAAAAAGTGGGCGGGCCCTGATGTTGTGAAGGACGGTGTTGTGAGTGGTTGTTGACGTCTTGCTATGCGGTTACTAGGAAGATTCTCAAGTGAAACAGTCCTGTGGTCTCCGTATATGACTCAGCTCCCTCCTTCAGTGGAAGTCTGGGGGATTTTTTACTCCTTTCATCAAAAGTAGCCTATAATTGCTTAGAAAGGTG